AGTTTAAGGAAATTTGGTCAAACTGGGGGATTTCACCACCCCTCCTTGTTTTTTTTTTGCAAAAGTGACCAAAAATTGCCTTAAAGAAATGGTCAGAAGTATAAAGCTCTACTGCTTTAAGAATTCAACCAAATCTTTTCACATGTTCAGTGAATGTTATCCTACCCAAGGACAATCTATTGTCAACGTTTCGTTCTCCTACAATGAGTTCCATCACACAGATCATGTCAGTGAAAACTGTTAAAATACCCAAAGTTTAGGCCGAAATATCTCTAATGCCCGAGCATGCTTCAAAAAGCTGAGCATACCGTGTAAAAGGTGGAACTTCATACTAACATTATCTGCAAAAAATATTTGGGCACTCACTAAATTATTTTACAGGAGGACTGCAAACTTGTCTCCCACCGCAGGTTACCCGCTTCAGCTTTTTTTTTATTATAATGCGTTGATTCTGTAATTATGGCACAGCAACAGACAGAAAATGCCACAAAATGCTTACACATCATACACTTTAATGAAATAGAACCAATTCTATTTAATTGCTTAAATAAAAACAAATACTTTGCCCACCACAGGGTACCCGCGTACATTTTTTTTTCATTATAACGCACCAATTCGGTAATAATGGCATAGCAACAGACAGAATATGCTGCAAAATGGTTACACACCATAAACTTTCATGAAATAGAACCATTCTGAAAGCTTTTGTTTTACCTTAGCCATAAAAATAAGAATCGGCTGCTTAAAAATGACCTCTTGTTATTGTTTAAGTGAACTATGTGACGGGACTCATTCTTCGCTAAGTCAAACCAGGAGTCATAGAACACTATCAAAATGCTTCCTTTGTCTGTATTTGAATGTGAGAATGATTTTATAATTTTAAAAAATGGCTTTTGTTCGCCCTTTGGCCAAAAGGGCTGCAGCTGCGGCGGTTGTGGAAGCAAAAACTCGGGTGTGGGAGGAGTTCGGGGAGGCCATGGAGAAGGACTTTCGGTCAGCCCCGAAGAAGTTCTGGCAAACCGTCCGACGCCTCAGAAAGGGAAGGCAGGGACTCTCCCAGGCTGNGTGTCATTGCAACAGAAGAGATCTGCACATGAACCTCCTTTGTTTGTTTGTCATGTTTCAAAGACAGACAGCTGAGGAGATGAAGTGGACTTCTGTTGGTACCTGTAGAGGTAGTTGATACAGTCAAGACAGTTATAGTGTTTTGTTCCACAGCCATCATTATGTCTTTAAATGTCATTAATCTAATTTCTTCATCAGCAAAATGTCACATACATAGCAGCAAATTCCCCAAACAGAAACCACCTTTACTGAGTTAATGTGTGATTTAAAATGTGATCTCCACAGGCTGTAATGCTGTACAGGTCAAACTGTGTGAAAACTACAGCCATATGTCATGAATTTAATCTGTCATCTGTTTGTTCCTCATCAGTGATTTATTTCTTGATGCATTATTGGAAATGCTAAACTTGTTTTAAACTCCATATTGATCGTAAATAAACTTTAAACAACTGTCTGCAGCTCCATGAGTGCTTTGTGAAATGTTATATTGAAAGAATATCATTGAGCAGAAATCTCTGAAATGGATATTTGTGGGTGGAAAAGGTGGAGTTGGTAAAACTACATGTAACTGCAGTTTGGCTGTCCAGCTGGCTGCAGTAAGAGAGAGCGTCCTCATCATCAACATCTCTGACGCTTTTGACCAGAAGTTCTCAAAGGTGCCTACTAAGGTCAAGGGCTATGACAACCTCTTTGCAATGGAGATTGACCCAAGCCTGGGTGTGGCAGAGCTGCCTGATGAGTTCTTCGAGGAGGACAACATGCTCAGTGTAGTGGCTAAATGTCTGTTCTTAAACTCCTTAAGCAAATAACCACTCGGTCAGACGGAAAGAACGAGTCTACTCGTGTTTTAGTTGAACGACGGCAGAAAACGGTGTGTTCGCCCCGTCTTTAATGAACAACTCCACATAGAACAAACACACAGCATCACCTCCAATAGATGCGCGAGCTCCTGCACGTCACCGCTCAGCGTCAACTCCCACCAGCTGCCCACTCCAGAAACTCCAAGCCCCAAAACCAAATGCAGGTACCAAACACATCCAAAATATAATAACTAAACATGAACATAAATCATCGAATAGAGAGTGGCACCAACACTCAGTATGGGCAAGAAGATGATGCAGGAGGCCATGAGCGCTTTCCCTGGCATTGATGAAGCCATGAGCTATGCAGAGGTCATGAGGGTAGTGAGAGGAATGAACTTCTCTGTGGTTGTTTTCCTATATGTTGAAAAAAACAGATTGACATTTACAACGTGTTTAATAATGACTTTAACACTGATGAGCCCCAGCAAAGGTGTTATGTTAAAGAAACACACAATTGGTTTTACTGGTAGTAGCTGATACACACCCACAAATGTTAAGAGTGCATCCACGATAGGACCAGGCAGGGGTGGCACAAGCCATCTCACCGATTTCAGTGAAACTTTGCCAGTTTAAAGGGGTCCACCCAAAACTACTTCAGTCTAAGTTTAAGGAAATTTGGTCAAACTGGGGGATTTCACCACCCCTCCTTGTTTTTTTTTTGCAAAAGTGACCAAAAATTGCCTTAAAGAAATGGTCAGAAGTATAAAGCTCTACTGCTTTAAGAATTCAACCAAATCTTTTCACATGTTCAGTGAATGTTATCCTACCCAAGGACAATCTATTGTCAA